TTGAGCTATGCCACATCATCCATTGGTTTATGTAAGAGATGGGACTGGAGACAGAACCAACCCAGCAATTGCAACTGCCAGTGTGTATGTAGGCTGATGTGGGTGACGGACTGAGCTGGACCTTTTACTGACAAGCACACACAAGGATCAGGCCTGGAGTCACTTCAGACAAAATTTTTTTGGAAATTCCTCCAGCTGAACTGTTGGACTCAGAACTTCAACCATGGGGAGAATCACAGGATCTGTGTGGTCTGATCATGGAGTGCATGTGTCAGAACTGGGCTTCCTCAGTGGCTTAGACAGATCAGTGGGCTGCATATTTAGATGCACATAGAGGATTTGCCAGTCCATTGGGACCTGCAGAGGATATTTGGCACAATAGCAGAGTAAGGAGACGGAACAAATTGGTCAACTATCCCAGCCAAACTCTGACAGCAAATATCTGGGTGAATAAACACTCTCAGGTAGACTGTGAGCCAATGGACCTTGGAAGGGTTTCCTCATCCACAGATGGCAAGATTGACAGCATTTCAGAACTACCGAACCATTTGAGCAAAACCCTTGGAGCATGCTCTACCCCAGGGACCCTGGGATGACATTGGGTGGCTGTTCCCCATCCCCAGCTTCTAATATGGTTGGGAGTTAGGGTGTAGTTTCTCCCATTATCTCCCCCCCCCTTCTCCCAGATATGGAAAGAAGAAAAGAAAAATTAGAAGTAGTCTCACCCACTTCCCCTAATCCTCAGCGATAATCCCCCTAATCAACTATGGAAACATCAAAAATAAAAAATAAAATAAAATAAATGGATATTTTCAGGGCCAAAGAATATTCTTGCTATGCAGTAGAATAGCAAGTTAATTTTCAGCCTGTGGTGCCAGCATCTCATATGGGTGCTGGTTTAAGTTTTAGATCCAGCTCTGATCCAGCTCCTTGTTTATGGCCTGAAAAAGCAGAGGATGATGGCTGAAGTCCTTGGGGCCTATGTACCCACAAGAGACCCAGAAGAAGTGCCTCACTTCAGATGGGCTCAGCTCTGGCCTTTGTAACCATCCGGGGAGTGAACCAGCAAATGGAAGATTCTCTCTTTCTCCTCCATGTAACTGCCTTTCAAATAAAAATAAATAGTTCTGAGCAGCCTATTGGCTGCTGGCAGGTTTCAGGCCAGCTTTGTCTCCATGCTCAGAGCCCTGATTCCAGCCACTGTGAACATACGGTGAGCTGTCTGTCCCCAGGCCTGCCCAAGCTCCAGAGGCTGCTCCCTTCCTGGTGAGTAGACTGTGAGGGGAAATCTGAAGAACAGGGCGGGCCCGGGCCCCACCTGCTGCCAACATTCCGCAGTGGATGGGATTGGGAGGGGGCGACCTTGGGGTCTGGGGGTTAAAACTTCCAGCAGTCTGTTGGCTGCTGGCAAATTCCAGGACAGGTTCGTCTCCATGCTCAGAGCCCTGATTCCAGCCACTGTGAACATACGGTGAGCTGTCTGTCCCCAGGCCTGCCCAAGCTGCAGAGGCTGCTGCCTTCCTGGTGAGTAGACTGAGAGGGGAAATCCAGTGAACAGGGTGGACTTGGGCCCCACCCACCGTCAACATCACACATTGGATGGGATTGGGAGGGGGCGACCCTGGGGTCTGGGTGGTAAAACTTCCAGCAGCCTATTGGCTGCTGGCAGGTTCCAGGACAGGTTAGTCTCCATGCTCAGAGCCCTGATTCCAGCCACTGGGAACAAGCAGTGAGTTGTCCCCAGGCCTGCCCAAGCTGCAGAGGCTGCTGCCTTCCTGGTGAGTAGACTGAGAGGGGAAATCTGGAGAATAGGGCAGGCTCCACCCGCTGCCAACATCATGCAGTGGGTAGGATTGGGAAGGGGCGACCTTGGGGTCTGGGTGGTAAAACTTTCAGCAGCCTGTTGGCTGCTGGCAAATTCCAGGCCAGATTAGTCTCCATGCTCAGAGCTCAGATTCCAGCCACCATGAACATGCAGTGAGCTGTTTCTGGGCGGCCAGTGCGCCATTTGGTCCAGGCTCTGCCTGTTGCTTCCTTGCAGTGAGCTCTGGGATTTTGAGGCTATGAATTGCTGCTTAGGTACCTCCATGTTGAGCCCACTGTGCTTCTGGATTGCGAATCAATGCTGAGAAGTTCCAGTGACAGAGTAACTTTTCCTTTGAAGGTGAGCAAGGATACTGAGACCTGGTAGTTTGGAGGAGAGGGACCAGATGATCTTTATGGATCAGACTGATATACCAGCCTCCTTTGAGTCCTGTGTAGAACTTGTTATCATTGAACAATGCTGACCACCATACACCAGTCCATGTAAAAGCTAAGGCTGGGGGCTTGTCTAGCAGGACCATATCCTAGTACCTGACACAATGATGGATCAGGAGACGGGTCACATTAGGCAGGACCATGATATTAACTAGCATACGAGAGAACCATTTGCTGGGATTTATTCTGTGGTAGATGTATGGGCCAAACCCTGTGGAAATACTAGTCCCAATGATTAGCTCAAAAGTTGGGGTGGTAATGGACTAAGCTAGGTGTGACAAAGGAGCCTGCCATCACTCATGGGTAAAGGAATCGACAGCAGTCTGGACTGGTCAAGGTAACAGCACCCAAATGCGCATCCTAAATAGGGTGTGGGGTGGGCCTGACTGCAGCATGCACCAGCTCATACAAGACCAAATGGAAGGCCAGACTATGCTGGACACTACCGTAACACCCACTGGCATGTATGAGAACTTGGTCTGAAAGTGGGTCAAGTGGAGGAACTTGGGAAACTCCCGTAATGGTTCATAGCTCCCACTGGTGAAGACATGGTCCAGACCTGGGGGTCAGAATAGCTGGGCAGAGTAGCTCCACTGGCTGGCTAATGTGTGGCTTGGTAATGGAATGGGATGGACTGCGCAAGGCTGAGCAAACCTTAGCTTACAAGCAAAAATAGAAATCAGGATGGAACACAGGTCATGCCAAGCTAGGCTGTTTTTTTTGTTGTTTGTTTTTGTTTTGTTTTTGACAATCTTTACATAGTTAATTAGGGCACAAAGGTTCAAGGGCTACAGGAAAGTGGGTAAGACTATTATTTCCACATTGTTTTTTTCCTGTATCTGGGGTAAAGGGGGAGATAAAGGGAGAAGCCCCACCCAGTCTCCCACCCATCCCAGGTCCCTGATGTGGGGCATGCTCCGAGGGTCTTGTGCAAGTGGTTTTGATAGTTCAACAGTTATGAATTGCTGCCAATCTCGCCATTCCAAGCACAATGAGGTCGCTGCAGAATCTACTGATTGACATAGTTCACCTTAGAGTCTCCGTTTGCCCAGTTTTTCACTGCCAACACATGGCTGAGGTAGTTGATTTATTCTGTCCTCCGTTCTCTGTTGTGGTGCCAGGTATCCTCTGCAGGTTTCAATGGACTGCCATATCCTCCATGTGCACCTGATTTTACTCTCCACTGCTCCATCTGATCCTCTGAGGAGGCTCGGCTCTGGCACTTGCACTCCATAGCAGACAGTGGGTTCTATGTCCAGCAGTTCAATTGGGGAGATCCCCAAAGAATCTTTGTCTGAGGTATTCCCAGACCAATTCTTGTGTGTATTTTCAAATACAGGGCCTGGTCCAGTCTATCGCCCCAATCAACTGGTGGTTACAATTGCTGGGTTGGTTCTGTTTCCAGCCCTGTCCTCCAATGGAAATAATGGGTATTGCAGTCCAGCCTGATTCTGCCCAGCACACACTCGGCCCTCCGAGCTAGGCTCTTATACCTACTGGTCTGCATAAGTCAGGGACCCTAGGCCACAGCACCTAAGGCAAAGGACAAGACAGGTGAGGGGCTATGCCAAGCTGAGTCAGAGCAACCACTGGCATGCGTGCAATCTATGGCTGTGAACAGGCCTGGTTGGGAAGCTAAGGGGACAACCTAGCAGGGTTGGGGTTTCCACCAAGGAGTGCAGGGGCTGGAGTGGAGGCTGTGTTCTGATCTGGATATGGCTCTAGTCTCTCTTGGCACAAGTGTGGACTAGGACTGGATGCACCAAACCAGAATAGACTCCAGCACCTCAGGTGATCTGGAGGACCTGGATGGATGTGGGATGGGTTAGGCTAAGTCTCTGCCCCTACCGAGTCATGTGTGAGCTGTGTTTGGGTGTGAACGAACCTTGGCTGGGCTGAAACATCCAAAAGTAAGAACCAGATTGGGGGTCCGGCACGATAGTGTAGTGGTTAAGGTCCTTGCCTTGAATGTGCTGGGATCCCATATGGGTGCCGGTTCTAATCCTGGCAGCCCTGCTTCCCATCCAACTCCCTGCTTGTGGCCTGGGAAAGTAATCGAGGATGGCCCAAAGCACTGGGACCCTGCACCCGTGTAGGATACCCAGAAGAGGAAAGAAGTACATGGCTCCTGGCTTTGGATCGGCGCAACACTGGCCATTGCGGAGAACAGAGAACGGAGGACAGAACAAATCAACTACCCCAGCCATGGGTTGGCAGTGAAAAACTGGGCAAATGGAGACTCTAGGGTGAACTATGTCAATCAGTGGATTCTGCAGCGACCTCATTGTGCTTGGAATGGCGAGACTGGCAGCAATTCATAACTGTTGAACTATCAAAACCACTTGCGGAAGACCCTACATCAGGGACCTGGGATGGGTGGGAGACTGGGTGGGGCTTCTCCCTTTATCTCCCCCTTTACCCCAGATACAGGAAAAAAGCAATGTGGAAATAATAGTCTTACCCACTTTCCTGTAGCCCTTGAACCTTTGTGCCCTAATTAACTATGTAAAGATTGTCAAAAAAGAAAAAAATGGAAAAAAATAAGTAAATCTTTTTTTATTTTTGAATGTTCCCTATCGGGTAAACATGTGTCTATGCTCCTTTGGTTACTGCTGAGAACCCTTGTTAAGGAAAAGGAAGTTATTCTCTCTCTCTGTCTTTTTTTTTTCTTTGAATGTCTGCACTAGTAGAGTTGATCCAGAATGGTAGTGATTTGCTCCCTTTGTGTGTTTCCTCCCCAGGTGTGTTGCCACCAGACTGATTACTGGCAGTTTGTGAAAGATATCCGGTGGCTCAGTCCGCACTCAGCCCTCCACGTAGAGCAGGTAAGAGCTGTGGAAGATCTGGTATGCTAGTGATGTAGCTACAAGCCTTCGTTGTCTGATGTTCTGTCTGGAGAGGTTCCTGGGCTGGAAGGATAGGAATGTGTTCATTAAGGACAAGTATCCCTGTAGCACTGACTTGGAGGGGAAAAGTCATTTGCTTATGAAAAGCAAGCCCCCAAACCTTATAAACCCATTAATCCAGGCCACTTTCCTCTGGTACAAGGATAAAATTTTTCAGATTCCTGGAACAAATGGCAGGGGACTCCCTAAATTTGCAGAGAAGTGAGACTGATGTGTTGATAACCATTGACGAAGACAGAATAATTTTTAGAAAGGAAAGTGACATTTCTGGAGGCTGATGTTCCTAACTGCTTTGTCTACTGTTATAACACTCTCTTCTGTTTCCTTCAGTTCATAGTATCTTCAAATTTCAAAGAAACTGTACTCAAGAAAGTTAGGTGATTTGGGCAAGATTATATTGCTAGTTCCAGAATAGTCACCTTTAGTTGTATGTATGTATTTAACTCTTTATTGTGGAAAATTTCAGACATATAAAATCAGCAAAATAAATCCCCCATATTCAACACTTGCTGATAGATGGCCAGTCTTTTTCATGTTTACTCCAACTATCAGGTTCATTGTTGAGGTTATGTAAGGAGAACCAACTTGTTTCTAAATGATGAGCGAACCAAATCACAGGGTATTGTATTGGCCCACTCATATTCTTTGTCCCTCTTGACACCTGCCTTTTTTGTCCCACACTAAGCCTCCCTCTAATTTGTTGCTGTAGTCCTGTCCTCTTAGATGCTGCCTAAAATAGCTGTCCACAAATTCCTTTTGGAATGTGAGACTTTTAGTAATAGCCCACTAGGAAGAGGTCCTTACTTAGAGAATACTGTGGCTACAGCTGGAAGGCAGAACTCTGTTGCTTCACTTCAGAGAATAGTTGGTGGCATTTTTCTTACATCCTTTCCCCCAAGTTTTGTTGCCTTCTTTTTTGGAGACTTACTGAAGTAGAGGCTTCTGTGGAGTAACTGAGAGGTCACGCTTGTCCTTCTCCCTGATTTGGAGATCTCTTGGCCTTAGACCATAAAGAGCCAGGCATAGCAGTTTTGTTCTCTCCTGGATCTGTGCATCAGGTCTTAACTGCTTAGTCTCTAACCAGTGGTGCAATCCAGCACTAAAGGTAGTTAGTCCTGTCCTTCATTCTTTCAGTATCCATTAGATGCTAGCTAGAGGAAAATACCTCTGGTTGCCAGCCCTTGCCTGTCTCGGTTTAGTTCTCAGGTCATTGTGATCTTGCTGTGTTTCCCAAGGGAAATGTTTTGATTCACATCTCTGTTTTCCAGTTCATCAACTTGTACGAGAATGGCCAGAGCAGTGCCAATGGTGTGAGTGAGCGTGCCATTGCAGAGTTGTGGCTACAGCACAGTTTGCAGTTTCATTGTCTCTCAGCCCAGCTCCGACCTCTGCTTGGGGACAGACAGTATATCAAAAAGTTCTACACAGGTAGGTGAGGGCCACTTGGGATTGTCGCATATCCTTCTCCTTCTCATTTTGTAAACTTCCTCTAACGACTAAGGCCTCTGGTTTTCACTGTTGCCCTAAAGATTTTACTCAAAGCTTAGCCAGTCGTCCCTCTCATTTCTCATGTAAAACATGATCAAACTTAATGTTAAGATGTTCCTTTATTCCCATATCCACAAACCAGCAGGAATAACTACCATAGTTTCCTATGTGCCGGTGTCTATTATACTGTACTCTTCGTAACATCCCTGAAAGTTGGGTATCAGCACCCCTGTTTTCTGATCAGAGAAACAAATTTGGCCATAATAGTTCAGAGCAGGATTCAAATCTGGTCTCTCCAACTTTGAAACCTCTTTTCTTGACCTCTTTGGTAAACTATACATTCTTAGTTAGTCTCTCCTGTAAGTCTTTGATTCCCCAGAGTCTGCTGGTGGTAAACTATATCTTTCTTATCCTCTCCTATAAGTCTTTGATTCCCCGTTTGCCCTACAGTGACACCATTATTCTCAGTTCTTTGCCTTTTCCCACTCTTTCCCTAAGCTGCTTCCAGGGCCGTCCAGGGACACTGCAGCCCTCTGTGTTGTGCTCCATCACCATGGTAGCTTTTGTCTCCCCAGATACTGCTTTCCTATTAAGTGACGCCCATGTCACAGCCATGCTCCAGTGCCTGGAAGCAGTGGAACAGAACAACCCCCGCCTGCTGGCTCAGATCGATGCATCTATGGTAAAGGGGACAAGGGATTACCCATGTCTGTGCTGGGCTCCTGGACCTCACCTTGACAGAATCCTCTGGACAAAGTTGCCTCTTCACTTTGCAGTTAGGAGCCGAAAGGCTTCCAAATTTTGAGAAATGTTTGGGGAGAAAGGGAGGTACCATGGAGTACTAATTAAAGTAAAAAGTCTAGGCTCAGGTCCATTATCAGTCAATGATGGCCCCAAGCCTTAGGACCCTGTACCGAAGTGGGAGATCTGAAATAAGCTCCTGGTTCCTGACTTTGAATCAGCTTAGCCCCAGCAGTGTGGCCACTTGGGGAGTGAACCAGTGAACGGAAGACCTTGCTCTTTATATCTCTGTGTTATTTTTTCTAATAAATAAAATAAAATAAATATTTTTTAAAAAATCCTCCCTCTTCCTTTAAGCAAATAGACCTAAGCCTGGACTCCAGAGTTTCAAAGCTATGCAGTAGCAGAGGATGGCAGCTGTGCTGTCTCCGTAGGCTCTGGCTATAGTCTGGGACTGCTGCCAAAGGGCTGCCTGTAGCAGCATTTTTCGCAGGACCCAGCACCCCTCTCTTGAGAACTTCCACGCTTGACTCTGACATGTTTTGTTGTTGCTGTTGTTGTTTCAGTTTGCCAGAAAGCACGAGAGCCCGCTGTTGGTGACAAAGAGCCAGAGTCTGACAGCTCTGCCTGGGTCCACATGCACCCCTCCAGCCAGCTACGCTCAGCATTCCTATTTCGGGTCGTTTTCAAGCCTCCACCAGTCCATGCCCAGCCACAATGCAGGTATGTACCCCATCTTAGGAAGCAGGAAGACCTTGTGGGTGTTCCCAGACAGATTAAGGCTTGATAGGTACACTTGGTTAAACTTTATATCTTAATAACAGGACATCTTAAAATGTCATATAGTAAAATAGCTTAAGATAATTCAGTAAAATCTTTAAAATAGCAGAAGAAAGAGATAATTTTTAGATTTCTCCAGGTTTCTAATTCATATTGCAATAAAAGATTAAGATAGTAACCAGCATTTGCTTTATTTTAAATATGAATTTATTTAATATATAGAAATAAAAAGCTCTCCCAACTGCTGGCCCAGCTACTGGGTTGGGCTGGGCAAAGGCTGGAAGTATAGAACTAGATCCAGGTCTCCCATGAGGGTGACAGGGATCCAGTCACATAAGCCATTGCTGCTGCCTCCCAGGGTCTGCACTGGCAGGGAGCCAAGAGCAACAGTGGAGCTGGAACTTGCACCCAGGTATTCTGATCTGGGATGTCCTAAGTACCATCCTAATCAGTGGGCCAAATGCCTGCTCCTAAGTAATAGCTGACATGAATGAGTCTGTGAGAATCCCTTTGTATGATCCTTAAAACAGTTCTACATAGTAGGCCTTGTTATTATTGTTCATTTTTATAGATGAGGAATGCAAACTGATAAACAATAAAAACACTGCCTTCAGAGCCTGTGCCCTTCAGTTAGCTGCTTTTTAATATTTTATTTGACTATTTTAAAAAATTATTTATTTGAAAGAGTGACAAAAAGGGAGACACAGAGATCTTATTCCCTGGTTCACTTCCCAAATGGCTGAATTGATTGGGGCTGAGCCAGGACAAAGCCAGGAATCGGGACCCCGTGGAGTTCTCCTGTGTGAATGGCATGGCAAGAATGTGAACTGGCTCTCATATATGGATCTCCAACATTGCCAGCAATGGTTTAACCTGATGCACTGCAATGCTGGTCCCTGATTGCCTTAGCTGAGGTGGGATCTAGTAAACAACTGGACATTTGGTCCATGGTTGTGAAAAAGCTCTTCATACATACTATAGGATTCCAACTTACTTTTCTCTCCCCTTGCTTTTGCATTTTATATCCTAGAGAGAAGATCTACTTCCTTTTCACTCTCTGGCCCTCCCTGGAAACCTCAAGAAAGCAGGGGGCATGTCGCAGCAGTAGAGGACCCAACCGGCCAAACACCTCAGCCTTCAGTGTCTGCACTGTCTGGGGATTCCCCCATAACCTCACAGGAGATGAGCTCCAGCACTCTGACCAGCCCCCTAGAAGCATCATGGGTCAGCAACCAGAATAATTTCCCAAATGATGCCAGTGAGGGGCCCGAGTATCTGGCCATTGGCAACCAGGACCCTCATAGCCGGACTGCCAGCTGTCAGAGTCACAGCAGCAACAATGAGAGCAGCAGTTCCAACTTGTTTTCCTCCAGTAGCTCCCAGAAGCCCGATTCTGCTGCTTCTTCCTTAGGCGATCAGGAGGGAAGTGAGCAAAGCCGGATGTCCAGTGTCCTTCGTAGGTCCAGCTTCTCAGAGGGACAGACACTGCCTGTCACCAGTGGGACAAAGAAGAGCCACACTCGCTCCCATTCAGATACCAACATTGCCTCCAGAGGAGCCCCAGGTACTGATGAACACCAGCTGGGCCACGTAGCAGGATGGTCCCTTCCCTTTAGCATGAAGGCAGAGTTTGTTCTTTATGCTGTTCGAGTTTCTGTTTTCCGTTTCTGATGACAGGACATCCCACTTTATAATACAAGAGAAATGTTTGTAAGGCAATACTCTCAGGATATCTCTGAGTGTGTTTGTTCTTTAGCCATTGCTAGACATTAGATGTCTTCTTGTAATTTTTGGCTAGTTCCTTCACATTAAAGGGTATTGTGATTCATCACAGATTTAAGTGTGTTTCTCAGATTCAGGGAAAGTAGTAATGAGCTTTCAAAATAATCCCATTAAATTCATCCCTTTACTGTGATTCCTTAGAAGCTTGGTCAGAATGTGATGCCCAGATAAGGGTAGCTGAGTAATGTTAGGATGCTCCAGTTAAAACTAGGGATATAGAGCTCATGGGGCTGGCTGCTGCATTCCTAATGTAGGTGAGAGACAGTGAGGTAACAGAGGCCCTGGTCCCTGGGCTCATCCTTCCAGATACACCAGCTAGTAGAACAAAGTAAATTATCAATGCGGGAAGTAGATCTCATTGCTGTTGTCATCTCCCTGCCAGCGTTTTTCCTGGGGTGTTGGTATCTGGCAAGCTTTGGTTGGGCTTAACTTGTAGAATCTCCTTGTCAGCAAGGATAAGGTGGACCTCTGTGTTCAAAGTGTCTCAGGGTTACAGCAGCACCAGGAATAATATATGTGTATGTATAAAATGTTAAAATAACTAATAATACCCCCCAAAAAGTCTTTTCTTTAGCACTTAGAGCCACCATGGCTTTTCTTTATAGCTTATAGTAAAGACCCTCATCTGAACCACCCCTACCCCCAGTGATGATTTGTCTGTTTTCCGCTCAAGAATGTACTTTGACTTCATGGAACTCCTTAGGAGAAGGCTTGCCAAATGGAAGCTTCTCTTCCCACAGGCTTTCTTGGATGTCAGAAGTGCTTGGGCTAAATGCTCAACTTACATGTCCCGCTCCATGTCTGGCATCTACTAAACTCGAAGTTGCTGGCCTCTGAGCATATAAACTTCCCTGCTCCCATTCTTAAATACTTGTGAATTCCAGCAACCATGGTAACACGCATGGGAAAAAATAGAGTCAGAGAAAACCCATACAGAAGGGTCAGGGGAGGGATAGGTGTTGTGTAGCTTCTTGTCAAGTCATTTCTCCTTCCACACTGGTATATCCGCCTGGGAATTATGTCCCCATTTCTGCCAGGTAAAAAAAGAAAAGGACATTCTTGGTTGCTCTCGCTCTCTAATCCCATTTGTTCTGTCTGTACTCTCCTCTGCACCTGTCTGTTTACCTACAGGAGGCCCCAGGAATATCACCATTATAGTTGAAGATCCCATTGCAGGTTTGGGAGCCTGTTCTGCACCTCCTGTTCCTCTGTCCTCTGTGACCACCTTGCTTTGTTTAGAACCTCCTTTTCTAATCTGGTGTCAAATCAAGTCCAGCTAGCCTGGTCCTGTTGTGGTGCTTGGACCTATCTGTAAAATGACACCAATATTTTTTATGATGTATATTATCTGTCCACAACTTCCATTTACTTTCCCAAAAGCCTCTGGGAGGCAGAATCAAGACTTAAAATTCAGTTTTCCCCAAAAGTAAAACTGAAGTCTGCTAAGGCACTGTGATAAATCAGTGGCAGCATTTTCCTTGTAACTGAATATTTACTGTGGATTACTTTATTTTCCTTGACTTAACACCAGAATGTGTTTTATCTTCTCTCTGTAGCCGTGGATATTCTTGCATGAGTTTTTATTGTTGTCATTGTTGATGATGATGCTGATAATGTTGTTATTGTTTGCCTCTCCTAGGTTCTTTTGTTCTGTTGTTTTTGTTTTTGTTTTTCGCCTGTTTTCATTCCCCAACAAGCCTTCATATCCATTCTAACCGCTACACTGGATTTTTCTAGTGATTTTGTTTCCTTGATTTTCATGGTGGTGTTCAACTTGAGATTTGTGTTCCGTTCTGGGTACCATCATACATGAAGCTGTTAACACTAAGGTGTATCTATGAAATGGTGGTCAAAGAGCCCTTAAAACCAGGGCCTCCTGGTGATGGATGAAACCACTAGGTATGTTAGTTTGAAAAAGAGGTTAAAGAGGAATAAAGTTGGCAGGTTAGCAGGACTATCATGTAGAAGGACATTGCTGTACTTAAGGTGATGAGATAAATTGTATGATGGCAGATTTCAAGGGGGTGTAGGAAATTCTAAGAATTAAACGGGCAGCAAAAGGAAGTAATGAACTTAGTAAGCAAAGGCTGAGTGGCCACTTGTAATGAAGTAAGGGTGTGGGGTTGGGGTTTGTGTTGGACATTACGTTTGGAGATTTCCAATTTCCTTCTAGTCATGGTTTATCCTTTTTAAAGAACTTTTATTTATTTATTTATTTTCATTTGAAAGGCAGATTTATAGAGAGAAGGAGAGAGATCTCCTATCTGCTGGTTCACTTCTCAAATGGCTACAATGGCCAGAGCTGAGCCAATCTGAAGCCAGGAGCCAGGATCCTCCTTCAAGTATCCCAAGAGGATGCAGGGTTCCAAGGACTTGAGCCATCCTTCCTTGCTTTCCCAGGCCATAAACAGGGAGCTGGATTGGAGATAGGGCAGCCAAGACACAAACTTTTATCTGTAGGCACAGATGGAGAATTAGCTTGATATGTCATTGTGCTACCGCCATTTGTAGTTTGTTACCAAAGCCTCAGAGTGACTGCTAATTTATACTCAATTCAGTAACAAGGAGCACCAGAAGTTTTTAAGGCCCAAGGAGAACACAAAATGATCTCTTACCATGTGGCTCCCCCACCACCATTTTTTTGTTGTTGCAAGAGGAACAGCTGACAAAATGGGTCCATCTGTCAGGGAATTGGATTGGATACAGCTCAGTTCTTCATTCTCCCAAGTTATCTTGTTCATTTCTCCGGCACCCAACTGCTTTTCCACCTGCTGTTCTTTTGTGGCACTACAACTTTTGTGTTTCATTTTGAAGACTGTCAGTTTATCATTTCCTATGAACCCTGCCTGCTACTATTTCTCCACTTGTGACTTTCACTCTTTCTATTACCAGCACTTCCTGCTTTGCTAGATTTTTCTTGACATTTCTCTCTTGCTTTCCCAGTGTGACAGGGTCCATACCTTAGGAATGAGCTCTTTGGTTACAAGGGCATAGCATCCTTGGCTTGCTCACCATTGCCATGATAATGCTTTTAAGGACATTGATTTTATTTTGATAAGAATGTTAATGTCAGTCTTTTAATATTGCCAGGTGTCAAACTATCAGAAATATCTCAGTGTGTATATGTCTTTCTTTTGCCAAATTGTTTTGCCAAGAAGACGGAGATTGGCAGATACTCTTCTTATGGTACATGGTTAGAAGATGGAAGAGAACCAAAGTCATTAATGCATTCTGATTTGATTCCTTTTTCCCGTTGTGTTGCCACATTCCAAATCTAGTTTTCTTTTTTTTTTCCCTTAGAATACACTGACTTCCCATTTCCTTTCTGCCATGTGTTCCTGTATTTCTTGGGCTGTACCCTGTTGGTGTGTCACCTCTCTCTTGTTTGGAAGCGTTTTGGGAATTGGGTAGTTAAATGTTGAGACGCCAAAGTTGGGAATCTATGTATTTCTCACTTTTTATGTGTGTTTTTATTCCCTGGTGGCCATTGATGCCAGAATCCTGCAATGATAAGTTGAAGTTGAGAGGTGCCTTGTCCTACTCTGGCCAAAGCAGTGAAGTCAGCACACCCAGCTCTCTCTATATGGAGTATGGTAAGTGAGGACTAGGAAAGCTGGGTGACATTCTGTTTTCTGTACTCCGCCTGGTGCCTGCTAGGTCTGGGCTTTGGGGCTCATCTCAGCTCTGTGGTTAGTACCCATTGTATAGTCTCACCCACCCACATCTTGAACCCTCTATGTTAGAAATCACACAATTCCTTTTGTTCCTAAGTCAGAGGTACCCACCTCCATATACCGTGGGTGCTATCTCCATGTATGTCTATTGGTCTGGATGGAATGGCTCGCTGACTGAGGGAGGACCTGAAAAAGAGATTTTGAGTATCTGGGCTTTGAGTGTCAGAAGATAAATTCTACCTGGAAACCATGCCCAAGAGGAAACCAACCCCTTGTTTCCTTTCTGACTCTGAGCACAGGGTTTTAGAATTTTCTTTTAGTTATATTTTAGGGGTTTTTTTTGGGGGGGGGGGGGAACAGTGAGGGCACCAGGGAGGGAAATTGTATCATCTTTAAATTTAGATAGCAAAAGAACCATCTTGGGGCTGGCTGCATTTTCCACCATTTTGCAAGTGGGAGTAGTCTAGGCTTCCAAGTAAGAAATTCTCTTAGAGCGGGAGTGGGGAACCTTTCTTCTGCCAAAGGCTGTCTGGGCGTGTATGACATCATTCGCAGGCCACACAACATTATCAAAGATTAGCCCTTCTGTAGATTGAATTTCAAGGCCCACCGGCAGTTGCCTTGGCAAAGCCAGACTAAATGATTTTATGACCTTGTACAATCCATGAACTGGACATTCCCCACCTCTACTATAAATGGCAGAGATCATTCTGACCTCCAATTCTCTATTGCCAGGGAAGACTTGGGAGTATCTATAGAAGCTTGGAAACTTTGAGATTTGCATTCCAAGTCCAAGTGTTTTATACCCACTTTCCGGTTTTCCCCAGAGGGTGAACGGTACCTGTGCTCAGGAGAAGGCATGTTCCGCAGACCCTCAGAAGGACAGTCCCTCATCAGCTACCTGTCTGAGCAGGATTTTGGCAGCTGTGCAGACCTGGAAAAGGTGAGGAACCTAGGGGCAAGCGAAGAGCTCATGGACTGGGAGAATCTCGCCCAAGGGTTTGGGGCGCTTTTTCGTCTAATAAGGTTTCAGATGCACAGAATGACGCACACACGGGGTGAAGATAAGTTCCCAGAGAAGATAAGCTAGGCAAGTTCTGCTTCTGGGAAGCTCTTCAGGGAGTTTAAAGCTTGAGTGATGATTTTATCTTAGAAAATAGCCCGGGACAAAGAAACATTGAATGTTAGCTGTGTGGTTTTTGTTCCCTCAGCCCTGGAACCTTTGGGAAATGCTGTTTCCAAAATTGACTTCTACATTTTGTTCTAGATCTCAGATATGTAATAAACATGTCTGTGTAGCATTTTGTAACTTCTAAAGAAATTTTATTTTGAGATAGCCCATTTACTTTAATACTTCATGTATAAGTGAATAACTTTTTTTGAGAAAGCCTGGTTAAAATCCTGGCTGACTTCTGTCGTGTTTATGTATAGAAAAATGGAACAGGAGAGGACAGGCATGGCCAAGCAAGAGAACAAAAGGATATGAAGAGCAGGTTTACTAGCTGTCTACTTAGCTTATTGTAAAAGGGTACATTTCCCCCAGGGGTTTTCAGTAACCATTATGCATGTCTGGGGTGCTCTGCTTTCCAACGTTGTAATCTGGGAGGCATTCAGTGCTTTGTAGTTGCTTACCAGGCAACCCTTGTGTGCTCCTCTTCTCCCAGGAGAATGCCCACTTCAGCATCTCAGAGTCCCTGATTGCCGCCATCGAGCTCATGAAGTGCAACATGATGAGCCAGTGCCTAGAAGAGGACCAAGTCGAGGAGGAGGACAGTGACCGAGAGATCCAGGAATTGAAGCAGAAGATCCGCCTCCGGCGCCAGCAGATCCGCACCAAGAATCTGTTCCCCATGTACCAGGAGGCTGAGCATGGGAGTGAGTGAGCCTGGGAACACTGCTGTCCTTGCTGCTTTGTGTTTGCAGGACAAAGCTGGGTACCACATGGGTGGGTTCCCTGCTGTCAGGCATTTCTGTGCTGTTCTCTTTGCTTTTTAAAACCAGACTAGGAGCACTAATCCATTCCCTGCCTCAGAAATCACTTCCTTGGCCCGGTATGGTTGCCTGGCAGCTAAAGTCCTCGCTTTGCATGCACTGGGATCCGTAATGGGTACTGCTTTTAATCCCGGCATCCCCACTTCCCATCCAGCTCCCTGCATATAGACTGGGAAAGCAGTAGAGGATGGCCCAAAAGCTTGGGACCCTGCACCTACATGGGAGACCCAAGAGAAGCTTCTGGCTCCTGGCTTCAGATCAGCACAGCACTGGCCATTGTGGCCACTTGGGGAGTGCATCAGCGGATGAAAGATCTTTCTGTCTCTCCTCCTCTGTCTAAATCTGTCTTTCCAATAAAAAATAAATAAATCTTAAAAAAAAAAAAAGAAAACAAAACACAATACATTTACTTATTAGAAGAAATAGTGAGACAGGGTTCCCATCTGCTGGTCTGCTGGAATCACTCCCTAGATACCCGCAATAGCTGGGGTTGGACTAGGCTGAAGTCAGGAGCCAGGAATTCTATCCCTGTCTCCCATGTGGGTCACATGGACCCAATTGTATGGACCATCACCTGCTGCCTGGCATGCCTGAGCAGGAAGCTGCACTCACAACCAGGGCTACGACTCGAACCCAGGCACTCCATGAGGCTATGCAGTCTCCTGTGGCATGATAACCCCAAGACTAAAAGTCTAAATCTCTTCTAATTCCATTTACACAAAAACTTTACATTTATTGTTTTAGTCATTCATTTTTGTTTATTCATTCATCCATTCATTAATTTCAGAAACACAAAGAGAGCTCCCAACCATTGGTTCATTCTGCAAATACCCACAACTAGAGTTGAATAGGTCCAGAACCAGGAACACAGTCCGAGTTACTTATGTGAGTAGCAGGGACCCAACTACTTGAGCCATCACTTGCTGCCTCCCACGGTGTTTATTAGCAGAAAACTAGAATTAATAGTGAGCTGGATGGGGGAGCAGTGCTGTAAATAGTACACTAAGCTTCTTCCTGCAGTGCTGTATTCTGTATGGGTACTGGCTATTCACTTCCTCTCTAGCTCCCCGCGTATGGCTTGGGAAAGCAGCAGAAAATGGCCCCGGCACTCATGTAAGAGACCCAGAAGATCTTGGCTTCTAATAGGCCGTTGTGGCCATTTGGGGAATGAACCAATGGATGGAAGAACTCTCTCTGTAAAATTTGCCTTTCCAATCAAATAATTAAATCTTAAAAAAAAAAAAAGTCAGCTAGGACTCAAACTAAAGTGCTCCAGTTTGGGTGTGGCAGTTTTATCGTTTCTTTTCTTTTCTTTTCTCTTTTCTTTTTTCTTTTCTTTTCTTTTCTTTTTTCTCTTCTCTTCTCTTCTCTTCTTCTCTTCTCTTCTCTTCTCTTCTCTTCTCTTCTCTTCTCTTTTCTTTTCTTTTCTTTTCTTTTCTTTTCTTTTCTTTTCTTTTCTGATTTATTTATTTTGCTTGAACTAGAGGCAGAGAGATCTTCTATCCACGGATTTGCTCCCCAGATGGTTTCAGCAGTCAGAGCTGAACTGATCCATGGCTGGGAGATTGCCACTTCCAGGTCTTCCACATGGGTGGGGTGGCCCAGTACTGTAGGCCATCTTCCGCTGCCTTTTCAGGCCATTAACAGGAAACTGGATCAGAAGTGGAGCAGCAGGGAATTTATCTAGTGCCCATGTGGGATTCTGGCACCATTGGTGGAAGATTAACTTGGTATGCAACTTTGCTGGTCCCTGAATGTGGTGAGAGTCTTGACCAGTATTTTAATGCTGTGCCTAACAGCTGATACTAGGTTTCTGATATGAGAACTGAGATCACTGTTTCTAGATGTGCTTCCCAGACAATGGCATCTTTTGTTTGCGTGAAACTTACTGCAGTCTACTGCTTTACCTCTTAGCTAGACTCTGAATTTACATGAAACTTTCTGAAGGGATGAACCAGTCAGAAGAGCTAAGTTCTGCTTGCATAGCACCACTCCCAGCAAAGGTTCTGTTTATTTCTCTATTGAGGTCATATCAGGTTCCTTTTATTGTGACATTGGAAGAAGTAGGAAACATCTGTCCTGCTCATTATGATGATGGTGATGATGATTTTGGCAGGTTTCCGGGTCACCTCCAGCAGCTCCCAGTTCAGTTCACGTGATTCAGCACAGTTCTCTGACTCTGGCTCTGCTGAGGAAGTTGACGATTTTGAAATCCAAGGTGAGAAGCGGCACATCATTACAAAGGCATTTTTATTACCTGTTTCTTACAATTTGGAATACCAGGCTAAGAAATTTTGCTTATGTAGAAGATCTTCATTATGCTCCATTATAAAATATTTTTGGCTACTGTTAGGGACTGCCTTTCTTTTTTATTTATTTTTATGTGTTACTTGAAAGGCACAAAAGAAACAGATATCTCCCATCTGTTGGTTTTCTCTCTCAAATGCTTGTTGCAGCTTGGACCGAGCCAGACTAAAGCCAGGAGCTGAGAACTTATCCAGGTCTCTCCTATGGGTGGCAGGGACCCAAGTGCTTGAGCCATTACCTACTGCATCCCAGGGCACACATTAGCAGGAAGCTAAAATGGAAAGAGAGCTGTTGTTTGAACCCAGGGCACTCTGACATGGGATATAAGCATCCCAATCAGGGAGAAGGTTCACTGTCCAGCAATAACTGGAGCTGAGCCTACTCAAAGTCAGGAGCCAAGAGCCAGGAGCCTCTTCTAGTTCTCTCACACAGGTACAGGATCTTAAGGCTTTAGGCCATCTTCTGCTGCTTTCCCAGGCTATAAGCAGAGAGCTGGATGCAAAGTGGAGCAGTTGGGGTATGAACTGGTGGTCAAATGGGATGCTGCAAGTGGATTAGCCAGTTGAGCTATCATGCCCCAAGCAGTATTCTTAACCCCAGTGCCAATTACCTGCCACATGACTTTTTAAGAAATTTATTTGTTTTGAAAGGGTTATAAAGAGAGAAGAGAGATAGAGAGATCTTCTTCCCACTGGTTCACTCCACATATAGCCACATCAACCAGTACTGGGGCCAGGCTGAAGCCAAGAGCCAGGAGCTTCATCTTGATTGCCCGTGTGGGCAGCAGGGACCCAAACACTTAAACACTTGTGCTCCTTTTGCCAGGCCATGAGCAAGGAGCTGAATCAAAAGTAGAGTAGCCAGGACAAGAGGCGACACCACATCACAGGCAGTGGGTTTACCCACTATGCTACTATGCCAGCACCCCCGTTGCTCTTACTAAAAGCAGTCTTCAAAAGTAGCACAGGAGAGAGCACCACAAGAAGATATTCCAGGTGGAATGAGTTAGCTATTGAAGTTATCTTAATGCTGGTTTCTCAGCTGCATATTTCTGTTGAGTTTTCTAAATCCTCCTAGAAATTCTATACTTACGTACTCCCATAATTCAACTGAAATAAGAGTATTGTTGGAATACCCAACTGAAATAGAATATTCAGAAGGAGTGTTATTAAACTCCTAAGTAAGGGACAGCCCTGTCAGTGCTAAGTTGCATTGTAGAATCACAGATCCTTGTTGGAAATGTCAGAGGAAAGAAAGAACCAATCTGCATGGGCATTTGTGTTCAATCAGTTTAATGTCTCATTCCTGCAAACTGTAGATTTCGGGTTCCCATGAGTAAAACAAGCAAATTCAACAGCAGTTCAGGGACATAAGCTCTTTCCCATGAGAAAGAGTTACTTTCTTACAGAGCTGAGTTCTATCTCTGATTCTTCCTTCTAACACTGTGACATGATGGTAAGCAAATCTTGAGTGTTAAAGAACCCCTTCTGCCACGCAGACCTCCAGCTAGGTAGCCGGTTTCTTTTGCCTTCAGAAATTTGGTGAACACACTTATTTTCCAGGCCTCCACAAAGTCTTCTTTCTGTGCTCTCCTTAATGTGTCTTATCTTAGGCTTTTTTTTTTTTTCCTTTATACAAAGGTAATTTTCCAGTAGATCTCCAGTTCTCTGTGATACCAGCTATGTATGCTACAGTTCACTGTTGATACTAACTAGCTGGAGTTGGTACAGACCCGGGAGTTAACAGGCTCAGCCCCATGAGTGTGCCCCACTTTAGCTGCCAGATTCAAGTGGAATCATGGGCTGCCTGCACTTGGGTCTGGGGGTGCCCATGACCTACCTCCTCCAGGTTTGATAGTGCACTGGCATGATTCATTGACCTTCGCAAAATGCTGTACTTAAAAGGAAATAAAAAAGCAACCATGTCAAGAGATTCCTGAGATATAGTTCTAAAAAGGTCTGAGTACAAGCATTACTGCCCCATGGAATCAGGTTGTGCCACCATCCTGGTCCATCAATATGTTCACCTACCTCAAAGCTTGGTATTCCACGCTGTTGACAGCAATTCCATTACGTTGGCAGTAGTGATTAAGTCATTGGCCACTGGCCATTGGATTCAGTCTTCAGTCTCCTTCCCTCCCTTGAGGTGAAAGGGGAGTGGACATTTCAACCCTCTAATCATGTAGTTGGTTCTTGTGGTGGTCAACCAGTGCCTGAGCATATACTTAGGTGTGGCTGATTGAGGCATCTGGTAATAAAAGACACTGCTGTCACACAGGAAGTGCCAGTGGTTTTAGGTACTCTTCTAGGAACTAAGGGCATGGGCCAAATATATTCCTTATTATTTCGCAATCAGTAGTTGAGCTACAAGTTAAAATAAGACAGTTCTACCCTCTGAGGGTCAGCTGTCAGAATTCCCTGAGGTACCTTCCGAATATGCTGCCGTACCTGGAGTGGAGCAGTGCAGAGGACCACAGATTGTATTTCCTTCAGTAAGGGAGGGAACCTGGCTAGCAACAGATGCAAAGTGCACTCATGTTCAAGACTGTTGCTGCAGCTGTGGGGTCCCAAGGAGCTGTTTAATCAGCTAAATTTCCACTCAGTTCAGAACAGAAATCCCTGAAGGAGAAGATTTCAGGGCAGGGCTTCTCAGCCTCTGGGCCAGATGATTCTTTGTTGTCAAGTACTGTCCTGCACATTGTAAGGTATTTAGCAGCACCCATGGTTCTCTCTTGATGTCAGTAATAAGTATCCACCACCTCTCAAATCATCCCTGGTTGAGAACCATTGCCTTAGGAAGTTCATGAGTCCAGGGTTGTTTGGGGGAGTAACAATAACCACCTCCATGTTACAGTGAACACCTGCTGCCATTTTAAGTTCTGAAAATGCCTCTTATCTTGTGGAGCAAGAATCAAACCCTGACATCAGGAACATGTAGTACAGAACTCTTACTCATCAGTTTGTAATACTAAACAGGTTGCTTTTTTTATCATCATGATACAGTTGGTAGCATAGGATCTAATTTATCTCACATGTGAAGAATGGCTGTCCATGTCTGTGGCCTCCATGTTCTCAGGTGGCCTAAGCTGGAAACATGAATGTCTTCATAGTTGCAGGTATGTTTGTGCCACCTTTTGTACTTGATTGCATCATACCTGTCAAGTTTACAAGGGCCACAGGGTCGGAAAAGCCAGTTTAAAAAAAAAAAAAAAGGAAGAATTTACAACACAACAAGAAGCCAGTGTTCTCAGATATTGTTTCTGTTGACAGCATTGCATTTGTTCTTGTCATTCATTTCCTACACAGTAGATTCAGTGATCATTGTGACTGTTAGAAGTAGTGGACTATTTGTAAGAAATGACCAGGTGAAGGATTTCATTTCCAAGCTGTTGTGAAGCTTCTGTTACTTATACAGAGAGCTTAATTAGCATAGAGTCACGTGACACTCTATGTCTCTGGTTTGAAGCTGTCTCTTCTAGGGACTTCTGCTGTAAAGCTTTACTGCTGTGTTTGGCCTTCGTAATTGTTTTGTGATCCAAGCAGGTAGACTTTCTGTAAGTGGGATTAACTGAAAGAAAGCAGTTTTCCACTTCAAGTGGTTTAAAACAAACAAGAAAACCCAGAACTTTTTTTTTTTTTACTATATAGGTAATTTTAACGGTCAGTATTATCAGCTATTGGATCTGAAATAGTTATGTAAGATGAGATGAAGATTTAAAGAAATGTTAATAATTTGGTCCCTCTTCCTCTGTTCCTGAACTGTTATAATTTATTCTAACATTGGTCTTTCTTTGGGAAAAAATCTCCTATGTTACTTTTGTCCTTTTATAATTATTTATTTATTTGAAAGTCACGGTTGAGAGAGACCAGAGATTTATGCTCTCTGTTCTCTTGGACTGTTACCAGAGGAAGGTCACAGCACCAAATCACATACTTTAGCATCGTGCTGTGGACCTCATCTGTGATAAGAACTGTGAGAATGTCACAGCTTTTCCCAGACTCCGATTCACCAGGTAGACCATATGGAACAGAAAGCGCTTATGAAGAAAATCATTTTGAAAGTTCTGTTCTCCTAGCTAGAAACTGAATATAAACTCTGAGAGCTTATAAAGATTATTAATTCATGAGCATCTGTTATAAAACGTTACTGTGGTATATGCCAAAATTCACCCACTATAAGTGGTAAAACAATCAACTTGATGATTTTTGGTAAACTTACTGAGCTGTGAGCTATCACCTTAAATCTAGTTTTCGAACCTTTTCATCATCCTAATAATATCCCATAAACTCAGAGTTCATCCTTTCTGCCTTCCCTTCCATCAACCACTCTTGTATGTTTTCTGTCTCTATAGATTTGCCTTTTTTTGGACATTTAAATAGAATCGTACAATATGTGATATCTGATCTTAAGTTTCTGGCTTCTTTTACTTCATCCGTTTCTACTGATGGTGTCACATGGGTTTGATATCATTCATAAACTCCCAGTTCCGAAGATGCCTCTCAGCTGTTTGGACTTTGGGGTTTTGTTGTTCTGTTCGTTCTCTGTATCCTCTTCTGTTATTGCTTCCTTGGGTCTTCTTTACTTCCTCTGTAGACCCTTCAAGAGTTTCATCTTCTGCATGTGTGTACCTAGTCAGGGTCCCCATCAGTAATAAAAAGCACATGGTAATTTGAACAGGAAAGTTTAATATAAAGAATTAACTATCCTGAGGGATTAAAAATGTCATTGAGAAACTGGCTTCTGAGGGTTAAAGTGAACCCTGAAGGAAGAGCAGGTGCAGTAGGCAGCAGTCACAATTCCCAGGGTTCAGATAGAGCCCCAGTGGCAGGAACAAATGTAAAGGCCCAGACCCAGACCTTCTGCTGCATTGGCTGGGGAGGAGTTCCCTGAAGTTGTGGACAGGAAGATGCCATGCCAACAGCTATTGATGAGGAACTGTCTCTGGAGTACCCGGTAGAGCTACCTCCTCAAGGGAGATGCCAGACCCTGGGTCCTCAGGGCTGCTGGGGAGAGCAGTTCATGGAACGATGCTGGGCCTGTGCCAGTTACTGTGGAACACTCTCAGGAAGCTCTCCCAGAGGCTGCTGAGAGGGGCCATTTATGAGAGGTACCACCTGTGCCACTCTGCTGCAAAGCCACCCAGGTCACATGTCTGGAAACAGAACCACGGGCCCTTCAGGGGTCAGACTGGAGGAGCACACCAGGCCCTGGAGAAACCCTTTCCTGCTCCACTATCCCTCCGGCGCCCTCTACTGACAAGGCTTGTACAACGGCCCCTTAATGGCACAGCCCGCAGAGAGAAGGGCCAGTGTGGAGCAGAAAGGCAAGAAATTGATAGCTGGCATATTATAGAAAAAAGGAAAAGCTTCAGGAACTGTATTTTCTGACAAGTTGCTTTTCCTTTTGCCCCTTTTAATTGTGTGTTCCCTGTTTTTTTAAACAGTTGTTTGTGAATCTCTTTTTAAAAAAAGAGTTTCTTCTTGAGTCAGAAGCTACAGAATATTTATTGGCCTTGGGTTCTCAGATGTATTGTGTATCAACTCGTTATCTGCAAGAAGGGGTCCAGGCATTTCAGTCATCATCTGCTACCTTCCCCGGGCATATCAACAGGGAGCTGTCTGGGAAGTGGAATAGCAGGGACTCAGACAAGCCCTCTGATACCTGATGTGAATGTCCCAAGTGGTGACTTAACCCACTACACCACAGCATCAGTCCTGTAATGCTTTCTTTAACAGCTTTGTCCTAAAGTAATGAATGCGGCTAGCTCCTTATTCAGGGTTATTTGTTGAAAAATTTCTCTCGCTTTTCTTCTTTGTTATTCCCAAGCAGGGTAAAATTTACCTTTAGCAAATTATTCACTTAGGGTGTATTTTCTGAAAGCTTGTTATATACAGAGCAGCATTCTGAGGCTTAGTAGGGTAGAACAAGTATTATGTGTAATCCAAGTCGGTCTAGGTGTTAGCCAAATAAATGCTGCAAACCGCATGGTCTATAAAGGTCTAATCTACTACTGCCCATGCTGTGTTTCTTTTCTCCACTAGTATTAATTAGATTGGAAATAGACAGTCAGCAATGCATTGAGATCTGGAGTTGGCAGCAGAATTTCCAATAGGATATATCATATACATGATGTCTTTGCTGTTAAACAAGGCAAACTTTGTGAACTAGTAGGAAAAATTAAGTTTTCTATACTTGGCATATGAAAACTGATGGATAGATTTCAGTTCTGTTATCATATACACGTACAAGGGGATATTTTAAAATTCATAAAAAATATGTATGATGAAAAAAGCTATAGTTGGATTAAAAAAATTGCGTCAAAATAAACTTACCTTTTCATTACACTTTTCTAGGACCATTCTAAAACACCCTCATAATACAGCTTTGAAGACATTAGTTTATCAACAGTATTATTTGATTATATACTTGCATGCAGAGCCCTGTGGTATATACAGGTATTTTAGAGCCAAAAGAATTAGACACAATCTCGTTTCCTTACAAGGAGATTTTGTAATCTAATTGTACATACATAAGAAGTCTAGATATGGTAGAAGCACATGAGTAACCATTGAACTATTCATGGCCAACTTCAAAATACTGTCATTCATACTCGCCCTGCCCTTTTGAGTTTTGAGGGCTTCAGGCAGAGTAGACTGACTGCCGTGTAGGCCTCATCAGATAAAAGGGCCTTTCAATGGGACATCAAAGGAAGTGAGAGTTGGAATTTATCAGAACAGTGTTGTTTTCATGGCTTGGACAGGCTCGGGCTGCCTTTCTGGATCATGACTGCTGCATTTCTTCCTTCCACCAAAAGAGTTTGGATAAATGAAGTCTGCAGGGGTTCAGGCAGACTGTCATTAGAAACCCCTTTCAGATTCTTTTATCATTTAATTTTGTTTGGACCAGCCATAGATTCCTGTAAGTTTGCCTGAGAATTCGGTGGTTAAGATCGTATTGATGGTTTTTATGAACGTTTGTTGGTTGCCAGGCATCTGCAGGGAAGTTCTCTTTCTCCTCTGCCACCAGGCAAGAAGATCTTCCCATGGATGACTTATGATGTTCATGGATAATACCAAGAGGGTGAAATATTAGAAACAAGGTTCTTATTGCACACACTTGGAGTGAGTCATCCTTGTGATTCAAATCCTGTTAGGTACTAATTCTTACATATGAAGAGACAGTCAGAAAGCGTTTATCCCTGGAGAGTGCGGTAGAGATTTCAGTCATTTATCTTGTGTTTCTTTTCCCCGGGCTGTGTCCCTGTGTCCTTGGGATACTTCCTGTTCTCACGTTCCAGTTTATACCAGATCTGAGCTTGTGTTCTCATCTGGATCTGTAACTACTTCGACCTTCCCAGTGCAGTGCACAAAGTCATGAATCTAGTCTGGATGTGACAAATTATAGACTGTGTCTGAGGTGCTCTGCTATCTAGGATGTAGCAGCAAGTTGCTGCCTTGAGTGTTAGCCGGCAGTACCCTGAATGGTTTTCAGTATCCCATACTTCCTCCCACTCATTTCCTGTTCTCCGTATCTCTGGCTTCCGTTTAGATGCTGTCATCAAAAGGAACACAGCCTCAAACGGCAAAGGTTTCACTTCCTCTCAGTCCTTGTAAGTATTTCTTTTCATGAAACTGCGGGCGGTGTGTAGAAACAAATCCTGTTCTTGGCATGCAGATGGGATAGGCCATGGGTGAAGCCATCCAAATTCATGAGGAGGCAAGGTTGAAGTGATGGCGTGCCTGATGACAACAAATCCAAGGGAAGAGGGAATAATTGGGATCCAAACAGGATGAGCCTCTGTGGAGGCAAAGCTTTCCTTCTCTGATCGTAACAGAAGGTTCCCAGAGGATCAGGACTCAAAAAAGAGAACACTGATCATGCCTTTTTCTTTTTAATTTTAAAAGATCTATTTGTTTGTTTGTTTGAGAGGCAGAGTTAGAGAGAGAAAGAAATAGATCTTTCATCCAAAGTGGCTGCGGTGGCTGGGGCTGAACCCTGTTTGAAATCAGGAGCCAGGAGCTTCTTCCAAGTCTCTTTGTGGCTGTAGGGACCCAAGCACTGGGCCCTCCTCTGCTGCTTTCCCAGGTGCATTAGCAGGGAGTTGGATCAGAAGCCTATGAAATAGGTGCCCATATGGGATGCTGAGGCTGCAGGCAGTGGCTTTACCCACTAGGCCTGAGTACAGACTCATTATGAGTTTTGATTAAGAAATCAAACTGCACATATTGGAGACCCAGTTTGGGGAAGTAGTAGTTCATGTAGGAGGAACAGTAGCCTTTTTATAATCCACAGAACAATCTTACTCACTTTATTTTGCAAGCAAGACATTATAATCTCCATTGTGCAATTAAAGGAACTGGAGTTCAAAGGATGGAAGTGACAGAGTGGTACAGTGCTAAGTGGGATTTGAATTTGAGGTTTGATTAACCTAAGACCAGCATGTTTTCCATTGTGTGTATGCATCTGAGAGGACAAGCAAAGAAGCTGAGCACACTGGAGGTGCTTTGAGTGGTCTTCCAGCCGAGGAGTTGCCACATGTGGTGCCACGCCCAGGCGGAGAGCACCCATCCTCCTGTCTCTCCTTTCCTTTGCAGCTCCCACAGCTTTCTGCACTCCACATCTGCTGAGGCAGTGGCCATGGGTCTCCTCAAGCAGTTTGAGGGCATGCAGCTTCCGGCTGCCTCGGAGCTGGAGTGGCTAGTCCCAGAGCATGATGCCCCACAGAAGGTAGGTACCCTCAGCTCTTCGTCCCTTCCCAGGAGGTGGGGGTGAGCCTTTCTGATCTCACTGTCCTGTGCCACGTGATCCCCCAGTCGGGATGAACCTATGCCTTTCCTCACTTAGAGAAGCTGTTTGTTAACATGTTGAGTGAAGGAATGCCCAGGTTTTCCTTGGCAGTGACAAAAGACAATGGTTTCCTCACTGTCCTCATTCCATGTGGCTGTTGAGTATGTGAGGTGTGAAAGCACCCTGGCATCCTAAGGAGTCTGGCTTGAGTACAGGGGCAGCATTACCGGTGGATGCCACCCCCCGGGAGGTCATTTCTTTTTGCTTCTTAGAGGACAAGGCCCTCACTTCTTATGTCCCAGTGCCTTCTGGTTTGTCTCTAGGGCCTTGGCTTCCAGAAGCCCTTACTCCATGGTATTTCTGGAATGTCTTCCAACAACTGCGTCATGGCTCAGAAGGTCAAGACCAAGGATCCCCGAGGCTGTTCCTGTTAGCTCATGCTGTTCTTTCATCCTGTAGCTCCTGCCCATCCCCGACTCACTGCCCATCTCGCCAGATGACGGGCAGCACGCTGACGTCTACAAGCTGCGTATTCGTGTCCGTGGCAACCTGGAATGGGCCCCGCCCCGGCCTCAGATCATCTTTAATGTTCATCCAGCCCCAACGTGAGTAGCCAGGGCCATCTTCCCGTCCTCTTGCTCCTGCCCCCGAGTGTACTCCAACACAGCTGTGGTCATCTAAAGGCAGAGGGAAAGAATTATTCATTTTGTGCTTCAGTTCCTAACTCTCAGTTCTGCCATTCTTTCCCAGGGTTAAGTGGATACAAATTCTTTTCTTTTTTTCCACTGGTACTCCCCACTTGCTGCTTTGCTCCCAGTGGTTGTGTGGGTTACGGGTTTTTCTTCCCTGTATAAGATACATGGATGTTGTTTCCTGTTGACTGTATCTCCTCCCTATTTGTACAAGATTGTTAGGGAGAGTCACTGCCTAGACCTAACCCCTGACATGATCAACCTCAGTTTGAATGAATTCTTCCAGTAGGTTCATTTGGTTCATCTCTTAAGAATTCCCATTCTTCACCAGAGCCATAGGTTCTATATATATCCTCGTCCGTTATTCCCCAGAGGCCTTGGGCCACTGCTGCTGCCTGCCAACCTGCACTCCTTCCCCTTTCCTTAGGAGGAAGATTGCCGTGGCCAAGCAGAATTACCGCTGCGCGGGATGTGGCATCCGGACCGAGCCAGGTGAGTATCCCCTGCTGCTACTGTGCTGGCTCCAAGGGCTTTCCCTCTCCCACATGTGCAAAAGCAGGCAGTGGGAGGAAGGAAGAGGGCAGAACTGAGGAAGGGGAGAAAAGGGGCCTGGCAGGGGAAGGTGTTGAGTAGGCGAAAGCACTGGCAATCAGGGAAGTTATTCCTGGGAGCACATTACCAGGACTGTGCGTGGGAGGAGACTGAATGTTCTCAGCTAGGTTTTTGGACGTGAGTCTCTGATTCTGGTTCCTTCGTGGTCTCCAGGATAGGATGTAAACGTTGTGGGCCCCAATGTTGTGGGCTTCTCTCAGCTTTAGGAAACTCAAAGGTGACAGGTGACCACCACCCACCCGCCCATTCCTGCCCTTCCAGGGAATGGCAGTGCTGCCTCAGCCTGTAGGGGAAAGGTCACATCCAGCCCCTTGGCTTTCTGTTGTCTTTGTAGATTATATCAAGCGGCTGCGGTACTGTGAGTACTTGGGCAAGTACTTCTGTCAGTGCTGCCATGAGAATGCCCAGATGGTCATCCCCAGCCGGATTCTGCGCAAGTGGGACTTCAGCAAGTACTACATCAGCAATTTCTCCAAGGACCTGCTCCTTAAGATCTGGAACGATCCTCTTTTCAATGTGCAGGACATCAACAGTGCCCTCTATAGAAAGATCAAGCAGCTCAATCAAGTCCGAGTAAGAACCTTGAAAGGGCCACGGAGTGTTGGAGTCTCCCTTTTCCCTTCCCCTCATCCCCTATCCCCGTTCACATGGAATTTCCAACAATCTGCTATGTTGTCAGGGGTCACAGCATCAGAGCTGTAATCAGCTCCTCATCCACACTCTATGCACTTTCTTAATCTCTTCTCATTCCCCTAGTATCAGGCTACTCAGAGCCTCAAACCCAGGAGTGGTGGCCCTGAAGTTGGATAACACTTGGTAGCAAAAGAATTTTCCCCTTAACTGAAAATATTACTAAGCAAAGAGTGGGCTTTCACTTGGAAAGCTTGATTTCAGGCCTTCTCAGTTCTTTCCAGCTGTTTGTGGTTTGGGCAGAGTCAGCTGGCACAGGGCCTTCCCTGACCAGAGAGCTCGTTGAGGTGACTTGTTGAATTTGAGATGTAAAAGGTAGTTTGCCTCTGGCAGCTATATGGAAATCTTCCAGGCCCCCTAGGGTTAAAAGTTCTTTCCTTCTTTTGCTCCCTTCTTCCCTGTCAACGAAGATTTTGTTTATTTATTTGAAAGTCAGAGTTTCAGAGAGAGGCAGATATCATCTGTCCACTAGTCACTCCCCAGACGGCTGCAACCACCTGAGTCAGACTTTGCCAAAGCCAGGAGCCAGGAGCGTCTCCCGCAATGGGTGGCAAGAGGCCCCCCAAACACTTGGGGCATCTTCTGCTGCTTTTTCTCAGTCCATTAGCAGGGAACTAAATTGAAAGTGGGCAAGACAAGAGGAGCCACCCATATGGAATGTTGGTATTGCATGCTGCTGCTTTACCTGCTGTGCCACGATGCTGGCCCTAATATGCTCAGCTCTCTAACAGTTGATTCTCTCCTCTTCTCCAACTCCCCTGGCCCCAACATCTTTCCCTTCAGCTGTTGCGGATCCAACTCTGTCACATGAAGAACATGTTCAAGACCTGCCGCCTGGCCAAAGAGTAAGTCTCGTTGGGGGCCAGAGTCCTCTAGCTGACTTCATGTCTCTGAAAGGGATGTATCCCAACAGTAGGCTCTTGTGTGAATAAGGGGAGTGATGGTGGTTGAGAGGGAAGATTGAGGGAATGAGAAGTCATAGCAGTGACTGTCTGTGTCCTTCTGACCAGAAGGGGAATCTGGTGGCTTCTGTTCAGGGCAGGCCAGCACTGCCAGCTGGCATGGATACCTGTGCATGAGGCTGTAAATAAGTTACTTCTGCCTCCCAGACACCATATAGTATGGGAAGGCTGGGGTGGCTAGTGAATGTGGCTCCACTCCACGACCCCATGACTTTATATCTTGTGCTTCTGCAAAGATCCATCCACCACAATGTGCCACATAAAGTGTTCATTCCCTCTCTCATTCTTCCCCTCCTTTCCTGCAGACTTCTGGATTCTTTTGACACAGTCCCAGGCCACCTGACAGAAGATCTACACCTGTACTCGCTCAACGACCTAACTGCAACCAAGAAGGGGGAGCTGGGACCCCGGCTTGTTGAGCTCACCAGGGCAGGGGCCGCCCACGTAGGGCGATGCATGGTGAGAAGACCTCGTGTGGGGCTGAACCCTTGCTTAGGAACACAGGGAGTGGGACAGACCCAGGATTCTTGCCACTTGGCTCCAAGAAGCTGGATGACGATTCAGCACTAGGAGGCACAAATTGGAAAGGGTTGCCGTTCCCTAGGTTGGTGAGCAGCCAAATCCTTCAGACTTGAAGAACCTAGAATTAGAAGGGGAATTGGCACTGGCATTGTCCCTGGGTCGCCTCTTGGCAGGACTGAGTGGGATGTCAGGAAAGAATGATCGCGCTGTGGAGGGAGGTCCTGGATTACTGCTTGGAGAGGAGCTGCCATCTGAGACTTGGCTTTATCATTTCCAGTCACTGTGAGCAAAAGAAATAATTTGCCCTTTCTATGTAAGCCTCAATTTTCTTGTCTCTTAATTAATGTCAATATTTATATACAGTGTCTTCTTACTAGAAGAAGAGTTTATGATGGGGAAGAAGTGGGGAACCCTGTGTGGCTTAGGAAACTAAAAATACTCAACTATACCTTGACTCAAGATGAGGTCTAATTTTGGGGAAATAGCCTCATTTTCACATTTGCTCTTATGAATTTTTCCTACCACAAATGTGAAAAGTCAGTCTCCAGAATGGCTGATGGCCTTGAGGAGGGCTGATGTGATCCAGCCCTCCGCCTTGACCTGTTTTTATCCAGAGCCCCTTCAGTGGTTGAGGCTTTTGAGTTTGTGTCTCTGTCTCCCCCTCAAAGCTTTGTCTGACCCTGTGTGGTCCTGGCCTGGTTTGGCTTAGGTCTCTTTCTCATAGGCTGTAGAACCCCTGGGCCCCATTCAATTTGTGTTACTGTTTTGCCTCTCCCCTGCAGGGCTCAGCCCTCCTGGGCCAGCTGTTCTGGTACTCACTGTCCCTCATCTTGGCACATGTTTCTCTCTTCCCCAGCTCTGCCAGGCCAAGGGCTTCATCTGCGAGTTCTGTCAGAATGAAGACGACATCATCTTTCCTTTTGAGCTCCACAAGTGCCGGACCTGTGAAGGTGAGGGCTGGAGCCAGGGAAGGGGCAGGTGGGTCTGAACATGGGGCTGTTTTCTTTCTTCTGCTCCATTAGCAGGAGTTTGAGTCATCAACAGCCTGTGTCTTTACCACCAGGGCACTGAGCCGCAGCTGGGGAGAGAGGGTTGTGGCTGCTACTCGGCTCCCAGATGGAGGTTGTGCAAGTTGTTTTCTTCTTTCTCTGACCCCAACAGAATGCAAAGCATGTTACCATAAAGCGTGTTTCAAGTCTGGCAGCTGTCCAAGGTGTGAGCGGCTGCAGGCCCGGAGGGAGTTGCTGGCCAAGCAGAGCCTAGAATCCTACCTGTCAGACTATGAGGAGGAGCCCACTGAAGCCTTGGCCCTGGAAGCCACCGTCTTGGAGACCACGTGAGGAAGTCACTGCAAGCCCTTTCTCTGGGGCTAGGGTCACACACCGTGCAGAGCTGAGCCAGCCTTTGAAGGACTTTCCCAACTTGGGACCTCTCTCTCTCTCTCTATATATATATATCATTATCCTTTTTTTTTTGTACAACTCTCCTGATGTCCATGTGTATTCAACCTTTGTCAGGTTTCAGGTTGCTGCAGTGCAGTCTGTTGTGGCAGACAGTTTACAGGCATCAGATATTTCCATCAGCACTGACATGTGGGTCCTCCAGCAAAGATTCCAGTGCTTCTCTCAGTGGAGAGACAGCAGGACTCACTTCTGATTGCTGTGGCCTTCCACCGAGGACCAGATCTGGTTTCAGCTGCATCTCAGATCATTTCCGGGTGAACTTTGTGTTAGTTGTTGAGTTCTGAGCCAGGCCTTTCTCAACCAGTTATCTTCTCCTTTGCTGCTAGCAAGGTGGGATTGGAGTTTTCTCTTCCCCAGTCCTATAGGGTCAGATCTCCCCAAGGAGAAGCAGCAGAGAATGGACATTGTAGGCCTCCGTAGGTTTTGGTGGGGGCCATAAAAACAGAATTGTTACTACCCCAAAATCCTCAGAGACCCCAAGGAGGCAACTATGATGTCCTGAGCTGAGACAGATGGCACAAGTTAACTTCTGTTATCTGCCCCAGCAGGCTTCAAGCAAAACGGACCAGGCCCCACCCAGGTGTGGCTTCCCACCATGGGCTTAAGGGAAGCTATAGCTGTGCTTGAAAGGACCTTTATTCATTCTAAGGAGCTGTTGGCCCCTTCTTCACTAACCTAGCTGTCTGGTATAGAAGCAGCCTTCCAGACAAGCCCCTGTCGCCGTCCTGGGGTGAGGGCAGAACACCCACACCCCTCCTTGTTACTGGATCCCTTCCTCCTCCGTCCTCTGTGAGCTGGTCCTTGCGGCTCTGAGTCCAAGTGTGATCCAGCTCTATCCATTGTCTCCTTCTGGCAGCAGAGCTAGGACCCCCTTGGCGGCTGATCTGTTGCCCTAGTTCCTTTCTGCTATTTGTAGTGCTGTATAGGACTTGACAGTTCATGAATGTGGAGTGAATGTTCCTGCGTTCTTGAGAAGCTAAGAGCCTTTATGCCAGTTATGCACTTAACTCTTCAACTAGCCTAGCCATTCTTGTGTGCAATCACCCTTTTGTTCAGACAAATTTTTAATAATTTCCCCTCTCCTGTTAATGTGTTTTTAATGGGGAAAGGTCTCGGTTGGGACCATGTACCTGTTTGTTGTGTTTTTAAGTTGTTACAGTTTCTAACCTTTGTGTAAAACACTGGTCAGGGTTGCTTCTTCAAGGCTGACAGCAGTGTGCCCTGAGACTGACTGATTCCTGTGTACCTGTCTTCTGGTAGTTGATTGTTAATTGCCCCAAAAAAGAAAAAACGGTAGCTTTGGTGCCATTCCTAGAAGCTGAAGAGAAAATTTGCATGTGCTGGTGGAAACTGCTGAGTGTTTCAACCAGATATAACTTCTTACAAGGAAATAGAGGAGCGTTAAGATAAAGACCATAGCAAGAGGGAACCTGTAAGAATTGACTCACAGTGTTGACTGCTCTGCCTCAAACCTGGGATCTGAAGGTTGTGTTGGATTGAAAGACTCTGGAGGCTCTTCCCTGTTCAGGTCATGGTCAAGTTGTGGAAGTCAAGACCCACCCCAGTTTGGAAGGGCTGACCGGAAGCTGCCTTGGCTTCCCAAGGGCTCTGGGAATGACCTCACAGGACTTGAGCCCCCACGTTCAGACTCAGGTTTGTGAAAATCATGAGCGCCACTTCTGGTCTGCGTGTTACAAATCCCGCTCCTCACTCCGAGTCAGTGCGTATTCCCTCAGTGCGCCACCTGTCTCTGTACTGGCCTAGGAACAAAGTGTGGAGGGGCAAGCCCTGCTTTCTAAAGCTAGACTCAGCCATCTCAGATGCTTCTGAGTTCCCACGTCTTTGTCTCCACCTCTTCCAACCCTTTCACAGCATACTGTCCTAGCAACCCTGACCCTAAGCTGTCTTTTTTTTTTACCATCCCAAATACCCATTTCTTTCTTTCTTTCTGTATAGCAGGAAAGGAGAAAGAGCATGAAATGTTTCAAAAGCACTTTGCAACTTACCAGTATATGAAAATCTGCTGCTGTCCTGAATAGAAGTTTCTAAATGCACTGAAGAGAGATCTTTATGACATAAAAGAGAAAAAGTGTTCTTTTCTGTAAATTATGGGCTTGTTCGGGGAGAATCAGCTTGCTCATGAGGTGGAGATAAGATTCAAGACATAGCGGAAGAGTGGAAGGCAAATGTTTTCCACTTAAATGAGGCTGTTGGTGACTTTTCTCTGCCAAGACTTAAGAGTTGTGATTTGATCACTGGAAAGGGAGCAAGGAGTCCAAACAAAAGATGTGTTACGTGTGTGTGTGTGCGCGCGCACGTGCGCACGGCTCATGTTCTGAACTGAATCCCCACTTGTGGCTCCCATACATCCCAGCAGTTCATTGTTGTCTTTAATAAACTAAGCAAATGGAAACCTACCCTTGGGTTTGCCCACCTTGACTATCGGGAAATGCCACTGAGTGTCCACCACGAAGCAGTGGGCACGGGTTCTGTGCAAAAACATAGCCTGACAAGTCAGAGCAGGTGGATTGAGGACTCCGCCACAGGCTTTGTGGCACGTAGTCCCCTCCACAGCACATTGTGCATCCCTTCTTATCCCCACGGTGTAACTGTCACTTAAAACAAGGTGACCCTGTCTCCAAACATCCAGATTGTGTGGGACACTTCACTCTGCACTTCTGTGAGTATCTGGTTCTGGCTTTCTTGCTCCTGAGCCACCAGAGCTCCATCTCTGTGCATTGCAGCTCTCTAAACTTACCCCCTCCAGGGTCCCTTTGTCATCATCAAATCATCTGTCAGAAGCCACCATGAATGTAATTTCCCCAACCCTAATACTGGTCCTCCAGGTTTGAGAAGTTTGTCTTCCACTTCCACCCTAATCAGGTGGCATATCTGGCCAGTCAAGCATTAAGTCAGTTTCATTCCTTTTCCACCTCTGCCATGCAAATTCAGGTTCTTATCTCACACTTCAACTCTCCAGCCATGCCAGTTTCTTCCTGTTCACTCACTCCTTATGTAGTTGGATACCTGCTATTTGCCAGTTTCAGTACTTGGCTCAAGAGCTGCAGCAGGAAGCAAAATGGAAACAGCCTTTATTTCCCTTTAGGGACTCAGAGCCTTGTGGGGGAGACAGATATCTCACAAAGTTACCAAAAAGAATATGTGGTTACAAGCTGTAATAAGAGCTTATGTAGGAGGAGGAGAGCAAATGCCGTTAAAATAACAAGGGGACCTAGTTTACACTAGAGACAAGTAAGGGTCCTGAGAAAGTCATCCTGCTATCAAAGTCCTGAAGAATGAGACTCAGAAGAGGGCAGGGGAAAAAAGGGGCTCCAGAGAGGGATTAACACAGGTGATGATCCTGAGACATGAAGTGTTTCAACTAAGATTTAGATTTTGTTCTCAGAACATGGGCGATCCACCAAATTCATGCTAAAAGCCTAATCCCAATGTGATGGTGTTTGTAGGCAAAGCTGTCCAGTATCATTTGGCCTGGAGAGTAGAAACCCTTGTGAATAGAATTGGTAGCTCTCCTCACCGTTGAACGGACACGGCTAGAAGAGCCCTCACCACAAGCCGGGCAGAAAGCCCTCCCATGAACACAGCCCTGCTGGCACCTGGATTTCAGACTTAGGTTTACGGAGTTGACGGAGCTCCCCAGGTGATGGTCATTTGTTCACAGTGGTTCAAGCTGAGACAACTGGAGAACCACTCAAGAAGAGTTTTGTCTGGGGAGCAATCAATCTGGTTAAACATCAGTGTCCTTTGTGGAGGATAAAGGGTAGGAGGAGTGGCTGTTGTAAGGAGGTGACTGCAGTGGTTGAGGAGGGAAATTATTTCGGGTTGGATTAGGATGTTGTCACTGTCCTCTCACTACCCAAAGACTCTAAGAATAAAGTCTGAATGTTCAGCTCTGATTCTGACAGGTTTAAGCAAGGAACACTGTGAAGCCTGTCGCTTCCTCAGCACGGGGAAGGCCTTCGGGAAGGCTCACGGTAGCTTCCTCGCCATGGCTTTGGCTGTTTTCCTAAATTGCTAAGACTGCCTGTCCTCTCCCCATGTAAGAACTGATTCAGCCACATCTGAGCATTTCCTGCCAGCATGCCATCCTTCCCTTCTTCCTCTGTGAGCCCCTCATAGTCCATCCAGAATGCTCCTAATAGAATAACCAACACAGCAGTGGAAGAAGAAACTACATGGTGGGCATTTGAATGTGAGCAGTCAGAAGAGGGGCGAAATGACCATGCTGCAAGGCTCTTCCTGCTGACCCTGACTGACCATCATTCATCCTTTTTGATCTCCCTAGACACAGCTGCCTTCCCTCAGCTGAAACCCAGTAAGACCCTCAAAGCCCAGCACGAGCCCTTCCAAGTGACAGCTGGAAGGAGCCTTCTGAGGTCTTGGATATAAAAAAGCCCTGCAGAGGGGACTCACACATGCCTTCTGCATGTAATCAGTGTGACTGGAGTCCAGTGGATCTGCTGGGTTTCCTGCTTAGCCACATGGACCTTGCCCATAACTTCCCTCTGCCAGCTCACCGCTGGCTTGAGCACAGAAGTTCTTAAATACAACACGAACTCAGGTTTGAGAGTACTGAGGCAGGCAGCCATGGGACCCCTTAGGTCTGACTGCATCCTCTGTCCTTTAACACGCTCCTGTTCTTCCCCAGCATAACCCCCTATGCAGTGTCTGCAAGGAACTACAGCGGACAAGCTCTGGTGCCCAGCCCCTCAGTCCACGGAAGGTTTAACTACTGGTCACCTCTCTGAACGAATGGACAAGCCTTTGCCCGCAGGAGCAGGGAAGAACTGTTTGAAGGCTATTCTGTTCTTTTTTTTTTAAAGATTTATTTATTTATTGGAAAGTCAGATATACAGAGAGGAGGACAGAGAAGAAGATCTTCCGTCCAATGATTCACTCCCCAAGTGAGCGCAATGGCCGATGCTATGCCGATCCGAAGCCAGGAGCCTCTTCCGGGTCTCCCACGCGGGTGCAGGGTCCAAAGGCCTTGGGCCGTCCTCGACTGCTTTCCCAGGCCAGAAGCAGGGAGCTGGATGGGAAGTGGAGCTGCCGGGATTAGAACCCGGTGCCCATATGGGATCCTGTGGCGCATTCAAGGCGAGGACTTTAGCCGCTAGGCCACGCCGCCGGGCCCAAGGGTATTCTCTTCTTGATCATGTTTTCCCCTCTCTGCCTTTCAGTGGGAAAAGGGATGATCAGAACTACATACTGAGGGGCCCAGTGCTGTAGCCTAGTGGCTAACCGCCTCACCATATGGGCATTAATTCAGTTGCTGTGACCATTTGGGGACTTTCTCTCTGTATATCTGGCATTCCAATAAAAATAAAATGAATCTCTCTAAAATAAAATTTTAAAATGGGACAAGGAACAGGATTGTTCTCACCTCCCGCAACTACTTGCCCTCTTAGCCCTTTTTCTTGCTTGCCTCCAACCCTTGGCAGCGATGACTTCCCTAACCCTGCAGCGATAACCGAGCCCTCATATCCCGTCTCCTCTTAGCTGCTTTGTCCACAGCTGCCTCTGTTGTGCTGTGTCCTGCCTTGTTCCATTCCAAATGTCCTTTCCCCTGTTTATTAGGAAATTGCCGGCATTTTCCCCTTCTGGAGTGTAAAACAGGAGATAAGACATTGATAGTCCCTAAAAACAATGATCTTTGTACAACTTAGGCTGAGAGAATGACGACACCGTGTGAAAGCCTGCTGAAGTAGATGCAGTGTGCCAGTGGTTTCTAGTCACAGATAGCTTACAGTGTAAAACCTGGGCTATGTTCTAAACTCGTGTATTATTTCAAATAGGCTGTGTCTTATGGGAAACAAAGCTTGTTTCCAACAGATTTCTAAGCTTTTCTTGCCCAATGTTTAACTTAGATTTTAAAACTTCTTAGGCCAAGAGTGAAGACTGCTCAATAAGAAGCAGCACCACTGGGTTCAGTGCCAGCCCTGCCCTCACCCACCTACCCACCCATCCATCCCAAGTGTCTAAGGATAGTTCTGAGTCCTGGACACCATGACAAAACATTGTTACAACAGCTGATCACTGCAACACAGTTTATGAGTAAAAGCTCATACATGGAATGTATCCCAAATAGGTACCATCATTAAAATGATTATTATTGGGCCTGGCATGGTATTTGCTGGCTAAACTACTTGCCTTGCACGTGCTGGGATCCCATATGGGTGCCAGTTCTAATCCCGGCAGCCCTGCTTCCCATCCAGCTCCCTGCTTGTGGCCTGGGAAGGCAGTTGAGGATGGCCTGCACCTTCATGGGAGCCTTAAGAGGCGGCTCCTGGATCCTGGCTTCAGATTAGCTCAGCTCTGGCCATGGTGGCCACTTGGGAAGTGAACCAGAGTATGGAAGATCTTTCTGTCTGTCTTTTCCTCCTGTCTGTATATCTGCCTTTCCAATAAAAATAAATAAACCTTTTTAAATTTTTTTTAAAAGATTTATTTTTATTATTATTATTATTATTTTGTATTGGAAAGGCAGATATACAGAGAGGAGAGACAGAGAGGAAGATCTTCCATCCGATGATTCACTCCCCAAGTGAGCGCAACGGCCGATGCTATGCCGGTCCGAAGCCAGGAGCCTCTTCCAGGTCTCCCACACGGGTGCAGGTTCCCAAAGCTTTGGGCCGTCCTCGACTGCTTTCCCGGGCCACAGGCAGGGAGCTGGAAGGGAAGTGGAGCTGCCAGGATTAGAACCGGCGCCCATATGAGATCCCGGGCGTGCAAGGCGAGGACCTTAACCACTGTGCCACCGCTCCGGGCCCGATAAACCTTTTTTTAAAAGCTATGATTAAAATCAGGATTTTTAGATGGGAGAAAACCCTTGAGTTTTAAAAGATTTAGGTATTTATTTGAAAGAGTTACAGAGAGAGCTTCCATTGCTGGTATGCTCCCCAAATGGCTGCAATGACTAGGCCTGGGCCAGGCGAAAGTCAAGAGACAGGATTTCATCCAGGTCTCCCATGTGGGTGGCAAGTTCTCAAGTATTTGGGCCATCTTCTGCTGATTTTTCCAGGAGCATTAGCAGGGAACTGGATTGGAATTGGCATCCAATGGGGTGACACCACTGCATGTAGAGGCTTAACTTACTGTGCCACAGCAATGACCCCATGGGAGAAAATGTTGTAACACAATGTTACGTGAATAAAGGGAAAAAGTATATGTCACATATTCATGAGCCCATGCTGATAGAAATGCATACTAAACAAATAAATGGAGAAGAAATAAATCTGTCATAGAAGAGTTCTAAATTTGAATGTAAGCTCTGCTCCCTTTAGGAAGGTGAAACTTAATGCCTTCTCTAAAGAGGGTAGACTAAAATTAGCGAGTCTGATTTTTTAAAAATGGAATAGGTATTGTGGCAGAGCAGTTAAGGCATGGCTTGGGACGC